CTGTGTGTCATCCCCTCTCTCTATTCATCTTCAGCTGTCCCTATCATAAAGGCAAGAAAAGCCCATAAAAATACCTTTTTTTAAAAAGAAATCCAGACCTGGTGGGGCACGTGCCTGTCTACTGTGGATCCTACAAACGTCCTTCACGTCTCCCTTACTCTCATCCAGCTAACTGGATCATTCTTCTGTGTAGCGCACCTCTCAGTGAAACATCAACGCTGGAGTGTGAAGCTTGTCTGGGCCTGAAGTGCTGGAACAGTATAAAGACCAGTACCAGTAACTGGCCTTCTCAGCTCAGTCTGCATGCTTCACACGCTGAGTCACAGCCACTTGACTCTGTCTGCAGAACTGAGCTCATTTATACGTGGGGGTGGTCACTGAACGTGCACAAAGCCTAAACAAAGACAACTCAAACTCAGGAAATGTGCCTTTAAACAGCATTAGCAGTAAAAAATGTTTCTGTGTTCATCTGTGTGTGGGACAGAAATTACAGTTACGTTAAAATGTGGTAGTAATCATATTTGGCACAGTAATAACATTAATTGCAATAATAAATCTCTCACAAATGAAAATTTATGACCTGATTGCCTTAATGACTTTGTAATTAGTGGTTAAAAAAATAAAAAAATCTGTGCAGTGCAAATATCCTCTGGCAAAAATGTATTTCCAAAAATAACACATTTATAAAATAAGTTTACAGTAAAGAAGCGCTTGGAAGTGTCCACAGATTTAAACATGAAGCTCTCTTTGTTCCTGATTAGATTTTTTCTCTAAATACAGAAAGAGAGAACTTGTAACATCATGTTTAAAATGTGGTGTAATTATATTTGAAAAACTGTTTTCTCACATCCCATTTTCCTCAATGTGACATGAACGCAGCATGAGTGCAGCTGCTCACACACACCATCTACTGTCTGAAAAAGGTTCCTGCAAGGCATTGAGCTCAGAGGGCATCTTTTTTTTTCTCTCTTCTCCTCAGCAAAGGAAAGGAGGCCCCACCCGGCTAACTCTGCCCTCGAAGTCCACGGTGAGATTCCACTGATGCCGAACCTCTTCTATCCTGGCACAACATCAATTATAAGACTTGCTTTTACTATTTCAATATTGAATGTTTTTTTTCCTGTCCTTAGGATGCGGACCTGGCCCGCCTGTTGAGTTCAGGTTCTTTTGGGAACTTGGAGAACCTGAGCCTGGCCTTCACCAACGTCACCAGTGCCTGTGCCGAGCAGCTCATCAAGCTGCCTTCACTCAAACAGCTCAACCTCTGGTCCACACAGGTACACACACACAGGAACACAGCACTGACACACACATCAGTAATCACTAATGATTCAGTGTCTCATGTATGTTCTCTCTTTCTCTGTTTCTCTTCCTTTAGTTTGGGGATGCAGGGTTGAGGTTGTTATCCGAGCATCTGGCCTGTCTTCAGGTTTTAAACCTGTGTGAGACTCCCGTCACTGATGCTGGTCTGCTGGCTCTCAGTTGTAAGAAAACACACACAAATTAATCATAACTCTCTTCTGTAGAAAGAAACCCAGCTTAGTGAGAATGTGCAGAATGGCTAGATGAATTTAAGGACAAGCTTAGAGGAACCATTTTAAACGATTTAAACCATCTGTAATTTCTGCCGCATACATCAAAACAGTAACAAAACACAAAGTTTCATGACGTGGTGAAGCAACATGGGATCATGGGAGTTGTAGTCTTCGCCACCATTATTGTCATTGCAGGATTCCTTCAGTGTTCATGGTTCGGGAGGTTTCTACCGGGAGCCCAATTATCCACAGAGGTCTCCTCCTCTCCAAAACAAACACAAATTAAAA